ATTTCTAATATGTTTCTTGAAAAAAATATATCAGAAGATGGCGCGTCCAAATATCTCCAATGTACAATAGAAAGCTTATTTTATATATGATCTTTTAGTGTTCAAAATGGATGAAAATGATGAAAAGAGAAAATAAAGAAAAAAAGAATTCATCATGTATAAAAAATAACTTTTTCGCAGCATCAGAATTCACTCACTTCGAAATCTGCTGATTTTGAATACTAAAAGACCATATATAAAATAAGCTTTCTATTTTAGATTATAGATCTTTTGACGCTCCATCTTCTGATATATTTTTTTTGCAACAAACATATTAGAAACTGAGAAAAAAAATACAAAATACGACCGTTTATCATGGGCACCTGGTTACTTTATTAGATGATGGGAAAAAATTTTTTAGTTTCAAGTTATATATCTTCACTATAGCTTAAGTTATAGTTGTGAACATTTAGATTGATACTCATTTGGTACTGCTTGACTATTAGCCCAATTTTGAGCCTTTTTTATTTGTTATAAGAGAGAAAAGAAATTTTTCTATGAGATACCAAAACTTTTAGGCAAACCTTTATATATCTATTTATATATTATTGGGAGCAGAATTCTAGCGGTGATTTTACTGAGATTTGTCATGGACTTCATATCTTCTTTAGCTTCATCATAGTAATACAAAATACGCAAAGTGAATAATATCTAACAGATAATAGTTGCTTTTCAAGAATAATCGATCCTTAGAGAATCGATCTGTCTTATTTATTTCTGCGTTTCTAACAGAATTTTTTTCTTTTATTTTTTTTACTGGCGCTTCATTATTTATTTGCGTTGTTGTCATTCGCTTGTGATTTACTTTTTTTTATTTCGTTTTTCTTAATTTACTATTATTTTTGTTCTTGTTCTAACCAATGATTTACTTGAGAAATTACCCCGTTGTACATCTTCAATGTATCTGTGACAGGTCTCAACCCACTACTATGGACCGTGATAAACTTATCAAATACTGGTTTTGATGGTTCTCTCAAATTAGAATTTGATCAATTAATACTTTTTGTGTTGCTCATATGACGATTGTAGTAAATCAATACATCACCAGTCATCATCCATCTTTGATATATATCATATACTCGTTAATTTGAGCAAAAATCAGAAACCGTACTATATATAACATTCAAAAACATAGTACAGCCATTTAAATTTCAAGGAAACCTTTGAAATATTCTAGAACAATCTGAGCCGTGTTTGTTAATACCGTTCAGCACCCTTTTCCGTTGCTAAGGAATCATGGAAAAGGAGTCTGATGCTTGTTATATGTTGGTTACTATGGCAGAATTTGCATCCAGTGCTCTTTAACCTTCGACCACAGCTGCTAAGGCTTGTAATGAGGAAAGATGAGCCTCAAAATCTCGCATTTAAACTTATACTCACTATTTTTCTTCGAAAAATATATGTGAGTTGCACAAAACGTGTTGTTCATTTAATTGTACGCTTGTGGTAGCCGTATACGACTAGATACGATCGCGCACGGTGATATACGACCGTATACGGCAGTCGTATAACTCCGTATACGGAGTACAGATGTTTATCTTTTAATCATTCCGTATTTTTGTACGATCTCCGTTTACGGAATCCGTTTCTCACCGTATCGCTCCGTATACGCGCATCGTATACGGAAGCCGTGCACGACCTCCGTATATCTCCGTTTTTCTCCGTAAACGACCGTTTACGAGCGTGCATGTTCGACCTGGGTAGGTCATCTGCATATAATAATGCCAAAATGTCAAATTCATCATGGTTTTCGTTTTTTCCGTGAAAGAAATCATTACTACCATACGAGAATTTTACTCCTGATATGGCAGCTTCATTAATAACTTCTCTTATGATGAAGTCAAATAGAATGTTGAATAGGATTGGTGAAGGAATACCTCCTTGCATTACACCTGTATTCATTTCGAAACTATCCGACAATTCACCATTTATTTTGACTTTTGCTATTGAGTGTTTATATAGTATTTTTAATAAGCTAACCAATTTATCAGTAATGCCATAACTACGACATACCTTCCATAAGAGTCTACGGTTGACCGAATCGTAGGCTTTCGTGATATCAATGAAGCACATAAATAAAGGCTTATTAAATGCTCTTCTTTTTTCCATTGTCATTTTTAAAGTGAATATCTGATCTGTAGTCGACCTATTTGATCTAAAACCAGATTGTATTTCTAATAGTTGGCAGTCTACTAAATCATGAATACGGTTAAGTATAATACGTGAAAATATTTTACTAGTTGTATTCAATAATGCGATGCCTCTGTAGTTGTCGCAAATTTTCCTATCACCTTTATTCTTGTACAGTTTGATTAGGGTTGTCATGTTCCATTCCTTTACCATCTGCTCGTTCTCCCATACATCAGTAAAGAATTCGAACAGCCATCGTATTATTGGTTCACCACCAGCTTTTAGGATGTCAACTGTAACTCCATCACTACCTGGGGCTCTCCTAGACTTCGTTTGATTTAATGCTTTCCTCACTTCTTCAATAGATGGTGGTGCATTTTGCCGCCGCTCTTCGGTTATTGACAGAGTCGGTGTTTCAATTAGGTCAATGAGATTTTGATCAATTGATGAGTTTACGTTGAGAGTTTCATAGAAAAATTCACGCCAACGTTTCAAGGTATCTCTTGAATTTACCAGTAGTTTACCACTTTTATCTTGCACTGGCATGTTTTCGCCTCTTTTACTTCCTCCTCTGAGACGTCTAATGATGGAAAAAGCCGTTATAGGATCATTATTTTTGATAGATTTTTCTATATTTTCGCATACTTCATCCCAGTATTCTTCTTGACGATGTTCCGTCATTATTTTCACTATTTTTCGCAGGCGTTTATAGTCTTTATGAGATTTAGACTCTAAATTAGAGCCACGATTGTTTTGCCATTCAACAAAAGCTATTGATTTTTGGTCTATAACTTTAAGAATGTCGCTTGTCAACCATTCTTTCCTTTTTCGGTTTGTGTTTTTGTCAACAGGAAAATTATATTTGGCCTTTTCTTTTATCTGTGACAAAAATAGTTCGTATCTCTGATCAATGCTGATTGTGTCATCTTTTGCATTATCGAATATGTCACGAAGATCTTTTTGAAACGCTTCTAGTAATTTGTCATCTTTTAGCTTAGCACTATCAACGTTTATTTTCTTCGAGTTGACATTTTTTTTTCTGCTTTTCAGATGTATTTTAATCTTGACACGCATTAGATGGTGGTCAGTTCCTATTGTACCTGCTGCCCCTCTGAGCATTCGAACATCTTCAACACTTGATCTTAACTTCTTATTTACAAGAGTATAGTCGATCATGTGCCATTTTTTATTTCTTGGATGCATCCACGATGTTTGATGCACTAGTTTATGTTTAAAAAATGTGTTAGAGATTATGATGTTGTTAATCTCACAGAAGTCGATAAGTCTCGTCCCATTTTCATTTTCTATATCAACTGTAAATGGTCCTATACCGCTTCTTATTACGTGTTGATGTCGTTTTTGTTGATCATTGCCAACTCTCGCATTTAGATCACCCATAATGATGATCATATCTTTTGTGGATACATCATTTAATGTATCTTGTAAGTCATTATAGAATTTATCATTTTCATCGCTCATTTGTTTCGTTATTGGATTAATAGGAGAATAGACTGCAATTACAGTAATGTGAATTGGTGCGCAGTAGAGTCGAATTTTAATAATTCGTTCACTTATTGGTACCCATTCGCTCCCTGAATCCTTCCAAACTTTTGTGGCAATCGGATTGAGACAGATTGCCACACCATGAGCTTTTCGTGTTTTTCTGTCGTATGGCGCACCTGAATAGATCATCGTGTAGTCGCTTACTAATTTTACACCGGAATCACACATACACGTTTCACTTAGTGCGGCTATTTGTATTTGATATTTTTTTAATTGTTTGATTATTATTTCTCTCTTTGATTGCTTTATACAAGATCTAACGTTCCATCCGCCGAAGAAGACATGATTTTGTGCATTAACGCACCTATAATGTTTCCTTTCGTTAGCAGAGATTGTTTAATGTCCAGCTAGAGATTGCTAGCCTCATGACCAGACGAGTGGCTACTAGCAGCCCAGGGACGCCCCCTACAACCACTCGAAAGTGGTCGTAGGACCCTGTGAAAGTTAAGAACTTTCCTAGCAGGCGGAAATGTTTGTAAATATAGTAAAAGCAAAGCTTAATAATAAAAAAAAAGGAGGCTTTGTACTGTACTGCGTCTTGACGCGGTCTCTCAAACAAAAAAGAAGTTACATACAGTGACGGCCAAAATTATTCATACAGGCAACAAATAGAGTGATTCGACCCTAATATTTCTGCCTCAGTTCAACCTATTGAGCTGCGATTTTCAGCAAAACGTAGCCAACTACTGCCACTTGCCACACTAAAAGTATCCAACTGAACGCATTTTGATGGTGCAACGATAAAGAATATAAAAATTATAGAGTTATAATTTAGTCAAAAATTATTCATACAGCTAATTTTTCATCAAAAAAAAGACTTTAACTCTAGTGATAAATAACAAATTGAATTAGTTTCGTATACAAACTTCTTCGTTTGGCCTCACTATCTCTGATGGACATAACCAAGAATAACTCTTCATCGTTTTTATTCTGATATCAAAAAAATAATAACATGTACACACATAACATTTTCTCTTATCTCATTTTTGAATGATGAAATACTATTAATATCGAGTTGAAAATCCTCCTTGATTTAGACATTCTTGTAAACGATTTTCAACGGAATCAATTAATTTTTCAGTTATATCGCTGCCAATCTGATTCCACTCTTCAATCAAAAGTTCTTTTAATTCGTGTTCATTTTTTGGTGGTGATATAAGTTGTCGAATACGTCGATCGAGTATAGTCCATAAATGTTCTACAGGACTTAAATCAGGACTTTATGATGGCCAGTTTAAACGTTTAACATGTTTTCATCCGACTATTTTGTTACAACAGGTGACCGATGTTTAGGACCGTTATCTTGTTGAAATATAAAGTTTGGCCCTAAACCCATTTTCTTGGCCGACTGAAATAAATTCTCTTCTATACGTCAACCGTCTAAATATACAATGGAACAAAGTAGTTTACGAGTATAAGTAGAGTCTGCATCATTAACCAAGTGTTTATGCTAGAACATACTAGAATTTATCTCATCCACATTAATCAAATGGGAGCATAATCAGGAAAGAATGTAGGTACGCGATTCATAGATTACACTAGGACGTATTTCACGATCGACAATGCACACATCATCCATATACAATTACAAAAGAGAAGAAGCGTGGCAGCGTAATAAAATACATACACGTGAGTGGATGAAATACATACGCAGAGAAGTGGAGTACTCTAGAGTGCTTATCAATGCTTATAGTGAGTCTAGACCTATGCTTTCTTATTGAATCACAACACTTAGATGCAAAAAAATTGTTTTTGTTATTCATAAAAATGTATAGGCATTGGCACTCTTTACACGCTACAGTGGGCATATCTCGATTTGGAGAAAATGAATTCTGTTCAAATTTTCAGCGCTTATAGCCCTGACTACGACGCTATTTTTCTGCAAATTTGACCTTGCGGCAAGGCTTCCTTGTTAAGATTCAAATGTATCACTAAAAAGTAGGATTTGAAATTTTGTTGAAAAATTCTAAACTTTTAAAGTTTTTATATAGTTTTAAACGTAGCTGAAAACTTCAAAATTAGTACAACTTGTAGAACATTTGATCCTCTATTCGGCTATGTGTGAATCATTTTGTTACATTTTGAAATAAACGTCATCGGCTATCACCTTTGAATGGTATTCTGCTATTTTCTGAAATGTCATGTTTTTGCTATAACTCAGCTGTATCAAAGTCTTTTTAGCTGAAACTTTTACCGCTGATGTATCTCAGTGATACCTATTAGCAGCCCAAATTTCATTGAATTTGAAGAACTTTTTGAAAAACGGCGGTGTCCTTTATATGTAGTGATTGATGGATTACCGACAGATTACGAAATCAACGAGAAAAATTTTCGTTCTTTTTTGTGTTCACCACTCGACACAGTAAGGGGGGGGGATCAATCCGCCCTCAATGTCGTGAACCCTACCTAGTCGCCCCTACTGCTGAATAAAATCCATCGAGATGCCATAGGATCAAACCATTCATTTAAATCTTTTCATGATTTATATGTAAAGAT